CTTTTGCAACCCCTGTGAGGAGTTTCTGTATGCAACATTCCTTCTCTCTGATCCAGAAGAACAACAACTGTTGGGCACATTTTATTTTTCTCAGTTGAGGCTGACTTAGTTTGGAAAGGATGGTTTCAAAAACAAAGTGGCAAAAATAGTACTATGCATGTGATCATTGAAACTGTGTCAGAGGTCACAACGCTAAGTTGAAAACACAATATTTTGTTATTGATTTCTTTTACTCACACTAATCATTTGTGATTGGGGTTGAGCGTTCAGGTGGGGGACATGGCTGTAAACTGTGCCCGAATCTTGGATTTGCACTGGAGGGGCAGTGCAATAACCTGATCGGGGAGATGAAGCTACTATTCAAGCACCACCTGAAACTGCGGGCCTCCGGAGAATTTTGTTTCCGGTTTTTGGAAAGAGAGCATTTACTCGACAAACACGCCTTTAGTCCAAGTCTGCGGGGCCAAGGCTGCAGACGCAGACTTTCCTGACTACTGAAACACTCGGATTCTAGTTTTGCTGCGGCCGTGGTCTGGGGCAAATCACCATGGGCTGCAACGATCTCTGGCTCCTTACTTCAGGGGCCCCTTCTCATCCTCTCAACCTAAAAGGCTTCACTCCTTAAGGCAAGGATCAACCAGAGTTAATACAGCCAGTGAGGGCTTCCGAGACGGCTCGGTGCTAAAGAAACCGCCTGCCAGTGCAGGAGACGTAGGTTCGATCCCTGGGCAAGGAAGATTCCCTGGAGGGTCTCACTCCAGTGAGGCTCTGGAGTCCTGGCCACTCACTCCAGTAATCTTGCCCGGGAAAGACCATGAACAGAGGGGCCTGGTGGGCTGCAGGCCAGGGGGTCACGCAGAGTCAGACACGACCGAGAAACTGAACGCTCACGCGCTGCATAGTCCCAGCGTAACTGGAGAGCTGAGCCCTTTGTGGTAGCCAGTCCCTTCTGGCTTGACCACAGCTCTGCCTTCAGAAATTGAAGGATGACCACATGGGGGTCTGATGATCAATCCTAAGACCTCAAAGACCACAGGATCGGGGAAGACACTCAGGCAGCAGGCACCTTCCCCAGGAGGCACACGGCAAGCGGGGCTAAAGCTAAACTCACTGCTGGCCTCTGTCCGGCATCACAACACTTGCTTTCACCCTTGCTACGTTTTCACAAAGAACATTTGACTGTTTCCCTCCTCCTGGGATTATTTTGTGAAGGAAAGGGAAGCAAACTGCTCTGTTTGAATGGAAACCAGATCAATCCGGAACTAAGGTTGGCATAAAAGTCCTTCTTCTGGGTCTTTCCTGGTGGTCCAGGGGCTGGCTAAGACTCTGTTCTCCTAATGCAGGGGGCTCCGGTTCCAGGTAAGTGATGGGTGTCCCCCATAGCTCAGTCGGCAAAGAATCTGACTGCAATGCAGGAGACTGGGGTTTGATCCCTGGGTGGGGAAGATCCCCTGGAGAAGGAAATGGCAACCCACTCCAGTATTCTTGCCTGGAGAATCTCATGGACAGAGGAGCCTGGCGGGCTACAGGCCATGGGGTCGCAAGTGTCGGACACGACTGAGTGACTTTCACTTCATTTCAGTTCCGATTTGATCCCTGGTCAGGGAACCTGATTCCACTTGCTTCAACTAAGAGCGCCCACGCTGCAACGAAAGGTCCTGTGAGCCACACCCAACACCCAGTGCAGCCAAATAAGTAAACAAAAATATTTTTTAAAAGTCTCTCTTCTAAAAAAAAAAAGTCTCTCTTCTTCTTACGGCTGTTTTCACACTGTGCAGGTCAAAGTGCTCAGGATGAAGAGGAGACCATATAAAACTTGACACTAAAACGTGAGATCAAAAGTTTTACAGGGAAGCCAAGGGGTTCATGCACCAGCGTGGGGCAAGATGAGCCTTTACATCGTGCGCACTGCCTGGTTTGAAAAATGGGCGCGTGCACGCCTGTGGGCAGAAGGGTTTGGGTAACTGCAATCACAGAGAAACATGGGAGGCAAATTAAAATAACCAACAAAAAAGAAAGCCAAAGGAAAAGAAAACAAGCAGGAAAGGAAAATACTTTGAAGGCGCTTTTTCCATAGGAAAAAAATATTTTATTTTTTTAAGAACAAATTCAGTTTGAAACAGGTTTGGAACGTGACTTCATTGGCTGGGGGCTAACTGCAATGTGGAACTAAAGCAGATCAAAAAACCTATGACAGGCTATCAAAATAAAACAAAGGAAAGAAAAAATATTTATAACTCAAGCATAATACTGTGTTACTTACAAATTGGACAACGAAATTTTAAATAAATATTCATGGTACATAATTACGGCACAAATATGCAGCAATTTGGCAACCTTTTATACCATTTTTTTTTCCTCATTACAGTGCAAAGGGGAATGACACTGCCGTTTAACAAGCTGTAGCTAAATACATTGCAAAATTCAGATTTTATACAAAACATCTTGCTTAGACTTTATAAAAAACCAACATTGCTCTATGTACACAATCTGGGTAAGAAAAGCCATTTCTGTCTTGTTTTTCATGTGTATTTTTATTAAAAAGGTGAATAAGGCTACTGTAACACCCCAAATCCATATACAGTAAAATCTGAACTTATTTACAGCATCTTCACTTAAACATTATGGTGCAAATTCCAAAGTCAGGTGACTAGGGATGAGAATACAAGGAAGGCATTTACAGTAACTTTCCAAAGCTGAACCAACTTCAGACAAAGGGACAGTTGGTAGATTGTCATATTCTGCACCACACACCAAACAGACCCACAGACTACTTGTCAACTGCTTGCAGGCAACTCTTCATCAACTCATCTGATTTCTTTCACAGTTTAGCACATCCTCAAAATGTAGCCAACTGGTGATGCACCTTCGATTGCATTAAAATCAGACTTTTCCCATTTTTCCCCTTCTTTCCCCTCTCCCCCATCCTAAAGGTCAATTTTCGATGGCTTACAAGAAAACCTTGTATGAATGCACGTAACAGGAGAGGCCAGGGTGATGGAAAGAATTACATATGTACTGTGGCTGGTCACCATGGCAACCTTCCACAGAACTATGATATAGATATATATAATATATACTGTCGATATATATTATACATATATGTACACATGTATACTACACACCCACTCACACACACACACACGCACTTTGGACCAACATCATTTTCAGGTTCAGGAAATAGAAGAATTTCTGTGACAACTCATTTTTGCAGGTATCCACTGGAGGTTTGAGAACCTTAAAAATGCTGTTGCTTCATTTCTTTTTTTTTTCTCCCAATTCAGAAAGCAAAGTGTTACCATAGTAACAGGACTATGTTAAAGATGTCTGTTTTGCATAGCACATAAAAAGTAGGTTTCCTGTTTACTCGCTTCTTTTCCCAGCAGGGAAGGGGCGAGGGGAGGGGGGAGAGAGGAAGGAAGGGGGTCAGGCTGAACTTTCAGCTGAAGCCCCCTCGACGTGACCCGGTGGATTCTAGCGAACACTTCAGCCCATGAGGCGAGGGAAAACACAGCACAGAAACTAAAGGCCAGCACATCTTCTCATTGTTGAAAACACGATGCAGTGAACACTGATTTCCTGGTATTTGGGGCTTGCACTTCCTAATCTATGGTGACGTGACATGCCTTCAGAGGACTTGGTTATTTTTGTGTTTGCTCCTATTATTGTTATTTTTGGAGTAATGTCGTTTTTCCCAGAAGTAGCAGTCCAATTAAAACAAAACAAAACAAAAAACCACGGAGCGATTGAGACCACTTAATCGTCACAAATGAGTTTCACATCTTCTGGTGTGGATTGTGTGCAATCTTAAAATATATATTAGTAAAACTCTTTCACTTTATATCCCTTGTGTTCTATATACCTATTATAAACACATCCTACCTTCCGTCCCCCTCGGCATCATCGTTTGGGTCCTCAGGACTCCTAGGAGGGTTGCCGTGTGTGTCTCACCCAGACACGGTACCAGGGACCGCAGTCTCGCTCAGCACCCACCCCGCGGCCCCAGGCCAGGACGGCACCGCCGTAAACCAAAGTGTCACAAGGCGCGATGAGGGGGGCGGCAGGGGAGGGGCGATGGGGGGACGGGGGGATCTGACCTTCCTTAAGGATATGAAGATGCCTTAATGTCAATGATGATGGAATTACAGCCCGTGTGACCTTTGGCTTTTTAAACTGCTAGGTCAGATTTGGCTCTCTGCTAAAGGCTCTCCCTGTGTTAATAAAATGTGATAAGTATAGCAGCTGGGTCCGCTTTAAATAACATCCAAAGCAGACCGACGGCCTCCCTGCAGCTTCACAGCTGCACGTCTATTGCCAGTACCAAGAAAGTCCTGCCCGAATCACCCTTCTTTCCAAGCCTGGTCCTCTACCATCAATGCCCCTTTGTTCCACCCGGCTAGAGAGGGACTATTTCTTTCTTTTTCCTGTGCATTGCTATTTGATAAGAGTGATTCCTTCAAATGCACCCTAATCTACTGTGAGTGTCGTTGTGTCTCCTACTTGCCTCTTAAAAAATCTTAGCAGAACCAAAGTGCTGTGCTAATTGGGGCTTTCCCTTCCCAAATCTTGTTTCAGAGGCGGCAGCACGGAACCGCCTTTGCAGACAGCGTTTGCGTCTCCCCCCACGAAACTCCTTCTCACGAAACTCCTCGTCTTCCTGGGCTGACAGCCGAGCATCGAGCTGGAAGGCTCCTTTTACCCGCAAACGCCATTCTTATCAACGTATGACCCCTTCCGCTGCGGCTGTTGCTGCAAAAGGATGGAGTAGGAGACGCCCAGCGTTAATGTCCCATGAGTGATGCGAGTGTGGCGTGGGGAGGGAATCTCTGGTGAAGGCCTGCAGAGCCCTGGATGACAGAGCGTGTGCAACCGTGAAGACGAGAAGCCAGCGGCCGCCCAAGGCCTCACGCAGCCAGAGTCTGTGCGACAAGACAAGTCCGGGGTGCAGCTCAGGAGTGGGGGGTCGGGGTCACGCCCCAGGCAGAGGGCGGCCCCGCCAGGCCCGGCGACCCAGGGGCCTGGGATGCTCCCAGCTCTCGCTCCCGCCCACCAGCCGCTCGGTCTCGCGGCTCCTGCGGAGGCCCGCGGGCGCGGGCGCTCGTGGTACCCAGTGGTACCGGGAGGAGGAGAGGGGCGGGGCGCGCGCGCGCATCTTCTACGCGAGTCTTCCGACGGCCGACGCCACCGCGGCCGAAACGCTACAGACTAGAAGGCTGTCCAACTCCATGGGGCTCTTCCGAGAAGGGGTGTCCCCGCTCCCCGCTGCGCGTCAGTCCGTCGCAGACACAGGGGGTCTCGGACCCTCGGCGGGCAGCAGCGGGGACAGTAAGTTTCCTCCGGAAGCGAAGGCACCGCCGAGGCTCAGACCTTGTAATAAATGTTCGCCGGGCTCTGCGGGGGCATCTCCTGGACTATGTACACCGGGTGCCCGTAGTCCCCGCTGACCTTCTCGTAGTGGGGGCAGAAGACACTGTCCGCGGTCCTTAGCGGGATGATGATGTCGCTGGGCTCCGAGCCGTTGTTGTTGCCGCCGCGCTTGGGCGTGGCCAGCGTGCTCAGCGACAGCGTGGCCGTGTGCTGCGGCGAGTGCTTGCGGTGTCGCCGGCGGTACTTGAGCAGCAGGACCACCAGCGTGATGATGATGACGATGAAGATGATGCATCCTGAAGCTATCCCTGCGAATAAGGCCACTTCGGAACCGAGGATATTGCTCCCAGAATGTCCGGCGCTGCTACCGTCTGTGCTGGAACCTGTGGGGAGGATGGGGACAGGGAGAGCGGTCAGAAGAGTCACCGCTGGGCGGGGGGTGGGGGTGGGGTGGTTCTTGAGCGCTGCTGGTTGTGAGGGGGGGGTGTGCCCAAGTGGGAAAACTCAGCGGGGGGCCAAACACTTCCCTGGCAGCTAGACTCTGGTAAACCAATCACCTCGTTTATTAGCCAAATGCAAGGGTAAATCAGAAAATTGGAATTGACCAACCACTACTATATATATAAATTAGAAAACCAACAAGGACCTACTGTAGGCTTCCCTGGTGACTAAGAAGGTAAAGAATCTGCCTGCAATGCAGAAGACCCGGGTTCCATCCCTGGATCCGGGAAGATCCCCTGGAGAAGGAAATGGCAACCCATTCCAGTATTCTTCCCTGAAGAATCCCATGGATAGAGGAGCCTAATGGGCTACAGTCCAAGGGGCTGCAAAGCATCAGACACCACTGAGCAACTAACAATACAATAAAAGAACTACGGATAGCCCAGGGAATGACACTCAGTATTTTGTAATAACTTATAAAGGAAAAGAATCTGAAAAAGACTATATATGCATACCTGGACACTGTGCTATACACTTGAAACTAACACGACATGGTAAATTACGTTTTGTTTAGTCACTAAGTCGTGTGAGTCTTTTCCGACCCCATGGACTGTAACCCACCAGGTTCCTCTGTCCATGGGATTTCCCAGGCAAGAATACTGGAATGAGTTACCATTTCCTTCTCCAAGGGATTTTCCTGATGCAGGGATTGAATCTCTATCTCCTGCATTGGCAGGCAGATTTTTTTTTTTTTTTAACCAATGAGCCACTTCTGTACTTCAGTTAAACAAACAAACAGCTAAATGCAAACGGCAGAAGCCAGCCCTGGGGGGGGAGACGGGACTCCAGGTGGGGCTTTGATGCTGCTTCCAGACTGCTTCATTTCCCTCCATACATCATCGTCCATCAGCCGCGAGAACGGGCTGTGACAGGCAGCTCTTGATCTTGCCCCATGTCTCAGCCCAGGTCAGCCAGCCTGCAGCCACCACAGGGCGCAGGAAAGCAAGTGGCCAGGTCTTCAGGTCGGCGTCTGCCGCTCAGGCGGCCCCGCTCTTGTACCAAGTTTTCGGTGGGAATCTCCAAATCGCCTGTCATTAAGGACAAGCCCCGCCTATCCTGCAAACCACCTGTCATTAAAGGCAAGCCCCGCCTACCGCCCAACCCACCTGTCACTAAAGGCAAGCCTCGCCTATCGTCCAACCCACCTGTCATTAAAGGCAAGCCCCGCCTACCGTCCAAACCACCTGTCATTAAAGGCAAGCCCCGCCTACCGTCCAAACCACCTGTCATTAAAGGCAAGCCCCGCCTACCGTCCAACCCACCTGTCATTAAAGGCAAGCCCCGCCTGCCCTCCAAACCACCTGTCATTAAAGGCAAGCCCCGCCTACCGTCCAACCCACCTGTCATTAAAGGCAAGCCCCGCCTACCCTCCAAACCGCCTGTCATGAAGGACAAGCCCCGCCTACCCGCAGAAAGGCAAGAGCGCTCGCGAAGAGGGATGGGGCCTGGGAAAACGTTCAAACCGTAACTAGTTTGTATTACTTGATTTACACTTAAAATATATCTGGAAGGCAGTAGAAACTCTCACACGGAACAGACTGCCAACCCAAATGTTAGGCATTAAAAAACTGCCTGGCATCATTATATTATCCATTTATCAGTTTGTCATAAGAATTTGACACATCTTGTCATTGAAAGTTAGAAATAACAACTTCCCTCCTTGACGCTTGGAAAGAGATGGAATATTGCTACAGAGGCTAAATTCGCGCGACTACCAACCAGACGTGCGGATCTTTAATACGGAACGGCTGACGTCTGCTCAGCGACCACCACATAACAAGTTCATTCGAGTGGTAACAAACACATAGCTATTTGCTCAAAGACTGCTAAAAAAAGCGAAGTTACACAACAGTCAGTTTTATCCAGTATTCTAAACTTTTGCCAGGACTCCCTTTAATATCTCATTTTACACTGAATTCATGGAAAGAAAAATAAAACTGACGGAACCACCTGAAAAATGTAGCATTGTGCAATATTTTAAGACGTTACCATCTTAAATGCAGAAGAGGATCAATCAGGCTCTCTGTGGATTAGATATAATTAGATGAGGCATTAGAGCTTTAATTATATATACATTAACACCGGCTTGAAGCTAGTGTTGCAACCAGCGTGATAAAGTGTCAGCCAATGAAAATAACTTTGATCTGAAAGAGCAGTGCTAATAATTGGCACTTACATTTGATGGATTCTGCTCTCTTAAATCTAAGACTTTTGTGGCAGTGAATTATTGTATTCTGATTGGGTAATTAATAACAACTAACTGAGAGCAAACATTACTGACTGCGGGAAGAACAAGTATGTTCTGGGGCAGAAGTACCCGCGCTCTGGTACTCCCCCGAGTGTGACACCGTAAGTGTGATACACAGTAAGAGCGGTCCACGCAGGCTAGACACACACGAGTCACGCTGCTGTACCTGAATTTGGTTTGACAAAGGGACTTGTTGTTGAACTTCTTCCATTTGTACCAGCTTCAAATTCTGGCCGTCTCGTTGGATCATTATGCCTGGTTGACCCAGCGGAACTTGCATCTACATGAAAAACAAGCAGTTACTTACGGCACAGAGATCTGACAGGATCTACCTTTAGGAGCAGGATCTAAATCTCAAGAGGCACGAATAGCAATGAACATAAGATTCTTTATGCAAAGTACTGTGAGATGCAAGAATATAATTTTCGTTTGAAAGCACAACGGTTCTACTAGTTACTTCAGAGGTTTAGCTAGTGAGGCCATCTGTGGAAACTATAGGGATTCTTGCATTTGGCAGGCAGAACATTGCAGATGACATTTTAATTTAACTGAGCGAGTTGACTGACTACTACCCCAATTTCTAATTAGAAGAATAATTCTCTCTGCACAAGAGGCCATCTCTTGTGAAAAGGCTCAGTGAACACAAGTTTTCCGTAGACAAGAGGCAGAAATGGGCAAAATGGCAGAAACTTTAATTTGCATTCTGGATATTTTAAGTGTGAACCAAAGGGGGTGTTTTGCTTTGAAGAAGGAAAATTTTATCTTCAGATACAGACATGGCCATAGACACTGAACCTGGCTGACCTCAACTTTTAGAAGTGTCTCCAATAAAAAGAAGTGGGCTGCATCAACTTAAGGAAGTCGATCAGTGGCTCGAGGTGCGCTGAAAGGTTTGCTTTGGAAACTAAGGTGAAGAGTGAGTGGAGGAACGTGTGCGCAGCCCTGGGGGCAGCCATACTAGCTGGGGGCCCAACCAGATCAGAGGCTCCGTGAATCAGCAGACGGTTTTTTACCTTGTCCAACTTTCATGAGGATCTTCATGGCTCTTGTCTGGCACACCCCTCCCTCCTGGTTATCCAGGCCCTCCAAAGACCCATTTGATGTAGCTGATCAAAAATAAAATGGACAAAACAAAAAAATAAAGAAAAAATCAGGAAATCAATAAGCCAAGTTTACATGAACATGAAATGTCTGAAAACAATTTGGAAAATAAGAATTCACTCTTAGTCACAGGTTTGCTGAAAGTATGGGATGCTGAAAGGCAAAACGAAAAAAATAAAGAAACAAAGAGCGATGGATGTCATCCACACTGCTTCACGTATGACCTCTGGTGTCCAATGGGCTTAAGCGCTTTCCCCTCCCTTTATAATCAACGGATTTCACCTGAGTCTGTAGATAAAAAGAACGGCATCTTCCAAAAGCTGACTATTTTGGAGTTCAGCCTCCAAAGAGCAGTACAGTAAATACGGTAATTTCAAACTGCGGTAATCATCACCCAGCACCTGCTTCCTCTACTACTGATTTCCTGCCTCAAGAACAATTACCTTGATGCTCCCTGATTGTCAAGCGTCCAAGTTCTATAAACACTCAGAGAGGAGACTCCCACGCCCCTTTTTCTTTCCCCAGCCTTTCTGGAGCTTAAAAGGTTGTACTAGAATTCGCATCTTCCAGTTCTGGAGTTTTCCTATCATTTTGTACTCGACCCAAATGAACGGATGCACTTTGACCACCGCCATCGACCTTGGTCAGACTCATCAACCAGACTCCCTGGTGCAGAACTCTGGATGGACAGAGGGACCCACACGTGCCCACTGCTCTGTGAGTCACCTGGAGCAGCTCGGGACATAAGGCAAGGACTTGGTTCAGGCCCCCTAGCTCGATTCCCTTTCCACCTCGAGGAGGAGGGGAAGGCAGGATGTTTAACTATTCTCAGTGTCTCTTTTTTCTCAACAGTCCATGCCCTACTCTATTTGAAGACAAAGGTCTATCTCTTTAGGACAGTGAGTTCTCTGAAGAGCATTGTAACTAAAGCCGAAAAAAGACAGGCTGCTATGCTAGCTAACTTGCTGAGGGACAGGATTTAAATTACAGGTCAAGTTCCAGACAAGAAAAGAAGGTGGACATTGAGACATTTCTATTCCTCCACAGTTCAAGGGGCAGGGAACATAAGTGTTTCATATCCAATTCTGCCATATAAATCCTTCTCTATTTTTTTTCCCTCTTTCCTTTTCTTTTTTTTCCTTTTTTGGTCATGCTGTGTGGCATTCTGGATCTTAGTTCCCTGATCAGGAATCAAATCTGCGGCCCCTATGGTAAGCGCAGATTCCTAACCACTGGACCCTCAGAGTATTCTCCCTTCTCTAATGACCAAAGTCATGCCTACTAACTCTATACTTTTAAAAGCACTGAAAAGGGGACAGACTTCCTGATAAAAATACATCCAAAGACATTCTTTTAATGGGCTGTTTGTTTCCCAAACGGCAGGGCAGCAGACAAATCAGGACAGGTGTGCGTGGAAATATGTATGCGTGGATGCGTATCTGAGCTGGAAAACGAGGCCTGGGCTGACTCGTTTCTGTGTTCTTGAGTTACGGACTTTCACGTTCACTGTTTTCCGTAATAACAATGGCTGTCTCTTGTGTGTATAAATATCTCTTTGCTTATCTGAGTGCTTCCTTAAAGTCCAGGCTCACAATCATATCTTACTCTTCTGTTCTTGCTGACACTGAGTTTCTCCTGGGAAACTGGACAAAAATTGCCATCAGAATTTTTTTTTTTAAGAGTAAAAAGTAGATAGTATCCTCTTGTAGATGACTGAGAAAATGTTTGGCCGATAAGTCAGAACAAATACCCAAGAAGCTTGCATGCTTTGGCAACTCTAAAAAAATTTTTATTTTTTCTTTCCATTTTCTGTCTTCTTTCCCTTTTGTGTTTTCCAAACCTGGGCTTAAATTTCAAAATATCTTTTCTTCCCAAAGGGCTAGAATAGCATGGGTAAGTGTCAGCAGGCACTCTTTCTGAGCAATATCAGAGCAGTGCTATAACTGTCACTTAAGTTTTCTCATCTGATTTTTCTCAAAATTTAGGATATGTTTTTATACAGAAAAAATGGTGAAAAGCTGATGTCTTTATCTGGCTAACAGTCTCAAAGGTTTAGTTACTTAACTGAAGTGGAATTCCCATCTTTTCTAATTCATGCACACATAAATGCACCCCAATGCAAAGTTCAATGACTAAGTGTTTCTTGCTAAAACTTTAATACTGAGCTGACAAATGATAAAAATAAGATTTGAAGGTTGATACACAGAAGAAGAAGAAAAAAAACAGATAAGGGGAAGTAATATAGATTTATTTATTTTAACCTTGATGTAAAAAGATCAAAGATTCAGGTGTAAAAGTAAAAAAAATAAAGGAGTACAAGAAAGGATAGGGAAGTCACAGCAGAGAAGAGTCACTGGTGAATAACATTCAGAACCGCATCTGCAGAGGCAGAAACTACAGCTGACTTCCACCTTGTCAGTCTGGATGCAGGAGGGGTGCACATAACTCGAGTGACTTCTCTTTTGATTTTAATTTATAGGTCAGTACCTTTTTTGAATACCAGTGCCTCCGTGGAGAGCTCCCTCTGGTTTACTCAGAGTGATGTCTGAGGAACCCCTAAACATAAAGAACTCCAGAAGTATTCAACTCAAAGAGCAATCTATAATTGAGCATCCACAGACTACACACGGCAGGCAGAAAATGTGTAGTGGGAGAAGACTGCTTTGCATCTCCAACCGTGGACATTTTTTTATCTCTTGGGAGGGAAAAAAAAAAAAACAAAGCCTCAAGCCCTGGAGATTCCCAGAAGGAAACCTGAAGATGCAGCTTTGGCTGAGTTCTTGAGGCCAAGGCCACTGCTGGGGTGGGGGGGCCAGGAGCAGAACACCATGACTGCAGAAGGTTCTTCTCTCCACTCTGGACTCTGCACCCCTCCGCTCGAAGTCCACTTGGAAATTGCAAAGTTACTGAAAGATACTGAAAAATTCATTCCTAACGTTTGTTTTAGCATCCCCGATATGTGGCTTTTTAAAAGGGCGCCAAGTGGAGGGCGGGTGGGATGAATTAGGAAATTGGAATTGACACAGAGACCCTGTTGCTTTTTCTAACTTTTCATTTTGTATCAGAGTATAGCTGATTAACAATGTGGCGGCAGCTCCAGGTGAAGAGTGAAGGGACTCAGCCTTACAGGTTTCCACTCTCCCACAAACTCGCCTCCCATCCAGGCTGCTACGTAACAATGGGCAGAGTTCCCTGCGCTTACAGGAGGTCCTGACACATATACACTGGTGATACTCCACGGTACAGTGCAGGGAACTCTACACTCAGTGACCTAAATGGGAAGGAAATCCAAACAAGAGGGGAGGTTTGTGTATGCAGAGCTGATATACTTTGCTGTACAGTGGAAATGAACACAACATCGCAAAGCAACTATACTCTAATAAAACCTTTTAAAAAATTAATAAAAGGGGGCTAAACTTTAAAATACAGTTAAGAAGGAATTCTCTGGCAGTCCAGTGGTTAGGACTTGGCATTCTCCCTGATGAGGCCCCTTGTTCAATCCCTGGTCAGGGAATTAAGATCCCACAAACCATGCAGCTCGGTCAAAAAAAAAAAAAAAGTAGTTATATGTTCCACCATGAAAGGATTTTTGCCCTGAGTTAGGAATGATGCAAGCTGTCTGGGAAAACCCTGTTTTAAGATGTGAGTACCAATGGAAACTTCAGAAGGTAAACTTCATAGCAAGTTCAATTATAAAATAACTTGAGTAACTTCAACTTATTTTACATCTAATCTCACAGTAAAAACTAATGTCTGTCTTCCTCAGGACCTTCTTATCGAGGAGTGTAGGGCATGTGGTCCTAATTCTGGAGGTGTCCCCTGCTCTCCCTTGCCCTCTGCCCCCCAACCTTGAGAAATAGCATAGCTGAAAGACTTCTTTGGCCTTGAACTTTGAAATAAAGCCTCAAGATTAATATTCTGATTTCTGATGCAACAGCTAGTCACCAACAAGCTTTAAAAGACTTAGTGGCCAACTTTGAAACACAATAAGAAAGTGCTCAAAGCGAAACTAAAAAAAAAAAAAAAAAGAAAGTGCTAATTCTTGGGAGTAAAATCTACTTCTACTTCAGGAGACAGTTTTGCAATTATTCTTATTGTTGATTTGAATGTATTGTGAATTTTTAACTGGGAGAAGGTAAAAATAAATTGCTAACCTCATTCTACTTAATTTTTCTTTGCATCTCTCAACCAGCATCATCTAATGCTGCCACAATCATAGTATGACTGTACTAAATGGATGAAATTGCATTTACTCATTTAGAGAGAGAAAAAAGAACATTGTTATATCTAAGCTTTTAGTGCCGAGACTTTTTTTCCCCCCTTGACTCAAGAGAAAAACTAGATTTTATCAAATCAAAAATTATCAGAAGAGTATATCTAGTTAGAAAGGAGGGTTCATAAAGATACATGGGCATTTTATAGCCTGCTTTTAAAAGCTTTTGCTTCTGAGATCTAATTGCACTGAGTTGAGTGTATTGAAATCACTAGCTTGTTCCCCCAGGGCCTGATTTTAAGTGGGTGGAGATCATGGCTTAGCAGGGGTGGGGGGGTGGTGGATGGAAACCCTGAGTTCATATTGCCTAAAAGTTCTCTTCAGGTCTGAAAACTACTCCGCGAACATCTGTACCTGCCCGTGTATTTGTAGGCGGACTTAACTGCGGTTTCTCCCTCCCTACAGGTAGGCAGCGTGCTGGTGATCTGAGTAACAGAGGAGACCCAGTGGGCAAGGCAGACTGCGTTTCTGGCGGTGTTTTTAGGCTGTGCCCACGGAGAGGAAGTCCTATCGCATTTTAATGTGTCTTCACTGGGTGGTTACGGCTCCGCACCCGGGGGAGGGTGAGCTGGAGTCCTGGATCTCGGCTGTTTTTATTTCAGTCTTCCACCTCGGTAACTGGACGGGGCATTAACTGCTGGCTGCGTGCCGACGCATACATGGGTCCGTCCCATGCACTGAGGCCCGCGCCAAGAAATTCTGCAGAGTGGGCCCCTCCCGACGAAGCGATCC